TTGTTTCCTATCATCTCTGAAAGTTTTATAAAAATCCCCCGAATTGTTACTGAGATACAGGTGTAGGGAAAAAAATACTAGCCCCTTGTTGCCCCTAAATGCGTAATATATGACGTCAACAGTATGATATATAATTGAAGGTCGTTAAGAAGAATATTTTTGTTTCAATAATGTATCACAAAATATTGATCGTTTAAGATTTATAATGAAAATTGTTTTGGACCCTTTTTATCCCTAATTTGATGAGTCAGCTCTTTTTAATTGATATCATTTGAAAGATCTTGTCATTTTGCACAAATAATATTCAGTATTTGACCTATCTATTTGGTCCTACCTTAAGATATGATACAAAATGTCTCGAAAATTCACTCCTGATTCGTTTCCTAAATTTCTACCCCTAGGCCGTTTCCATACCACACATTTTTGGAAAATTTGAAAACCCAGGTGCATCATGGGAACATGTCCTCTATAATCTCTGAAAATTTCAGTATTCTAGCTTAAGCCGTTTTTGAGTTCTATCACAGACAAGGAGGTCCTCTAAATTTTGATCAAAGGGCGATAACTTGCGACCGATAGTGAATTTTTCAAAATGGAATTGCCGGTACAAACTTCAGATAGAAAGACATAAAGTCTGAAAATTTGAGCTGAATCGATCCAGCCATCTCTGAGAAATCCTCTGCACAAAATCGGTAAGGAAAAAAATAGTCAGAAAAGTGAAAAAGAAGCAAAATAGAATAATAGAAGGGTCTTCCGCTGAAACGGAAGACCCTAATAATAATAACTAGATACGATCTCGTTGCGAGCAACGAGTGGGCCTTCCGTTCGATTCTTGCTGAGATGAGATAAGATTTTGATTGAGATTTTCATTCTAAAGTAATGATTTTCCATAATCTGTAAAAAGAGTTTGAACAATAAAGACTTCCTAAATCGTCTTTTGGCCCCTCTTGGCCCTTAATATAAGGGATCAGCCCTTTTTTCTTCATAACATTTTAAAGCTCTTAGTATTATGAACACTTTTTGTTCAACAACTATGCATAGATTCTTTGAGTTATTCGCGAAAAGAATATTAAGGGACCAGCCCTTAAACTCCCTAATGGGGACGTTTAGCGAGAAAATGAAAGGTTGCATATTGCTCAGAACATCATTTTGAACAACTTTTGTTCAATATTACTTATCAAAATATTTCTCACTTTTGAGATACAAAGCGTCAAAGATTTTGCCTTCTGGCCCCTTAAGGACCCTAATTATGTAATGTACGACTTTAAAATCATAATATACAGTTGTAGATCGTTGAAATAAACATTTTTGCTTCAGTAATGTATTACAAATTATTGACTGTAAAAGAGTTATCGAAAAAAGACTTTTGGCCCCTTTTGGCCCCTAATTTGAGTGCCCAGCCCCCTTTTCCTGATTTCATCTTGAAGCTCTTAGGATTTTAAACACTTTTTGTTCAATAACTATACAGAGATTCTTTTTCGTTTTCGAGTTATTTGTAAAAGAAATATTTAGGGGCCAATCCTTCAACTCCCTAATGGGGACTTTGAGCGAAAAATGAAAGCTTGCATATTGTTCAGAAGATGATTTTGAACATCTTTTGTTCAATATTACTTGTCAAAATATTTCTCACTTTCGAGATATATTATTTTATTTAGCATTCTGGCCCCTTATGGCCCCTATTCATGCATTATACGACATTAAAATCATAATATACAGTGGTAAATTGTTTAGATAAACATTTCTGCTTCAGTAATGTATCACAAAAAAATGACTGTTAAAGAGTTATCAAAAAAAGACTTTAAGCCCCTTTTGGCCCTTAATGTGATGAGTCAGCACTTTTTTCTTGTTATCATTTTAAAGATCTTGTCATTTTGCACAAATTTTGTTCAGTATGTTTTAACAAAATAATTATACTTTAAAAGATATGATGCAAAATGTCTTAAAAAATCAGTCATGATTCGTGTCCTAAATTTTGACCCCTACCGAGCTTCCATACTAGATACTTCCGGAAAATATCCTGACCCAGATGCACCATGGCAACATGTCCTCTATTATCACTGAAAATTTCAGCGCTACAGCTTAAGCTGTTATTGAGTTCTATCACAGACACGGAGGTCGTTTGAATTTTAAGAAGAGGGCGATAACTCTAGACCGGAAGTGATTTTCAAAAACTCCTTCATCCGGATTTAACTTCAGATAATTCTACACCAACCCTGAAAATTTGAAACAAATCGATCCAAAGATCTTTGAGGAATCGTCGGCACAAAATCTGTGCAGAAAAAAAGAATAATAATAACTAGAGCCGAGCTCGTTGCAAAGCAACGAGTAGGTCTTCCGTCCGGTTTTGACCAGAAGTGCCGGAAGTGACGTGAACAAAAGAAAGCAATGAGCTAAGTAGTCTCTAGTGACTTTATGATTTCAATTTTGCATTAAAACCTTCAAAATAAGCTATTTTTGGCTACTTCCGGTTTGACCAGAAGTGACGTCGACGGACGGAAAGTTAAGATTTAAGCTTCCAGTGACATATGTTGCCCAAAAACCTGTCAAGAACAGCACAAATATGCAATTTTTGACTACTTCCGGTTTGACCGGAAGTGACGTCGCCGGACGTATTTTAACGAATCCATTAGATAACGCTTGACATTTTGAACAACTTTGCTTCTTTGACGTATTACAAATTCTCAATACTTTTTTAGATATAAAGGAAAAAATTTTGGCCCCTTTTGGCCCTTTATTATAGGGACCAGCCCCTTATCGTTGATATCTTTCGAAAGATAGTGACATTCTCTACAAGTTTTTTTCTATATGTCTTAACAAAATGTTAACATATAAAAAGATATTGCAGAAAAGGTGTGAAAAATTTCTAAGTCCCCGATAGGACTTTTTTCGAGCCATAGCGAGCGCCGACGTGCGGCACTTCCGGAGAAAGAGAGTGGTGTGTGACAAAAGAGCACACCTTGCTCTATCATCGCTAAAAATCTTATGTTTCTGTCTTAAGGATGGATTCTTCTCATATTTCTTATAATTGCAGAATCTTGATTTTCTAAATACTCAATATTCAGACTGTGTACACTTATTTAACATCCAAACAAACTGGTGTAATCGGCCTTGATTTTCAGTCAAGGTCATTTGAAAGTCAGTCCTAAAAATAGTACTTTTACACAGAGAAATTTTGAAATTTACACATAGGAATAATTTTGCTAACAGAAAAAAAAATATCTTGCTAAATAAAATTAAAGTTGTAACTTATTTTTTATCACTAACTAACAAGAATTGAGATGGTGGGAAAAAAACATGAAAAACTCAATATTCAATAAAAACATTTAATCCGAATTTCCTCGATAATTTCTTTCAAATTTCTCAGTTTTCATAAATTTACCTGAAATTTCATCTCAATTTTTACAATTTATCATATAATGTCAAATATTTAGATTTTTGTCGGATGAATACTCAAATGTTGAAGATTAATTTACAAGGTAGAAAAGATATGGTATTCGTGCTAATTATAGAACAAATTTAGCCCGAATTTACTCTACAGTTTCTGAAATCTTCCATTTTACAAAGTGGTGTTTAAATCTATAAGAAAGATTCTTAACCCCCCAAAATAGGCAATTTGGTGTAATTGTGACACATATATACATTCAATTCTTACAGTTATACATTTCATTTTATGATAGTTTGTACTAATAATATTTAAAATATTTATTTTGAATTTCCTCTGTCAATTTATTCTTAGGAATAAGTTAGGTTTTACAATTTTATAGAATACATTCTGGATTCTTTTCCTATTTTATATATTCAGAAAATAATGAAATTATACATGAAAACATTTCAAGATATGTACAATTAGATGACAAGAAAAAGGTGTGGGGTCATCATCCTTGATTTTGCTTGAAGGTCATTTGAAAAGTTGATGATAAAAATAGATTTTTTCCTCCTGTGGAATTAAGAAAATCCAATATGGTATTTTAAAATTGATGTTTTGGAAAAAGGAGATGAATAGATATGAAAAACAAATTAAGTCTTAAGTTTTATTTTAAAGCAATGTACTAAAGTCAAAAAATAGCAAACTTTTGATCACAAATCACACAAAATATTTATTCCGAATTTCCTCTGTACTCTTAATAAAATGATATTTTAGTCTTTGACAATCGTTCATTTTCATTTAACTTTTTCAATAAAATCATATATTCAGAAAAAGTTATTTTTACAACCATAGGAAAGATAGACGTTGAATGAATCATTTAAAGCACAAAAATGAAGGGGTATTCATATTCATTAAATTGCCAGATTAATTAGCTCGAATTTTCTCATTTTAAAAAATATCATTGAACAAAGAAAATGCTGTCAATATATCATATAGGCTAATAATTTAAGAGACAGGACGGGCGGTTAGATAAATACATTTTCTCTGAAATATGATATGATGTATTATTGTGGAAATAATTGTTGAAATTATTGCCATGTTTCAAAAAACCCCAAAAATTTCAATCCGAATTTCCTCTGTTATAAAATATACTGGTTTCATTATTTACAAATAAGTAAAGGTTCTCAATCGAAATACATGTATATTTTTGAAGAGTTAGGCCAAAACTTTATGTTAGATTATGGAATCTTAATTAATAGATGTATTGTACATGAACAAATATATCACATGCATGTATATATACCAGTGAAGTATAATTATGTATATAAATATTTATCGGCGCCAACACAATTACAATAATTGTTAAAGGCGCAACATACTGGTATAAGAATCAGCAATTATTCATAAAATTTATACAATACACTGTTTCTAGATTTTGAAGCTATACATAAATCATACAATAATATAATTTACACAATAATACACAACAATTATGTATAACAATGATTTCTAAATATATGATATTTCTTAACAAATAAGTGTTATTTTCAGTATTTCTGGACATGTCAGACTATCAAAGGTATATGAGACAGATTTGATACTTTTCCTTTCAATAAAAAAATACATCAACTTCCTTTCAAATGTTACCTTATAATTATTGTATTTTTGGTAGCTGAATTGAAAATAAAAACCATCTTAAATCTCTCCTGTGTTACAAAAAATTTACAAAATCTTTTATTAGGGAGTGTTTATAGGCAAATTTCTCGATCCCCTTTTCTGTGGCAAGGTTATGTGCACTAAGTCTCAAGCTGTTAATGATTGGTCTCTCTGTTCTTTTTTTCTTTGCGTGTGGGGGGGGGGGGTATATCAGTGTAATCTACAGCATCTGAAATCATCAAAAACAACAGTAACTTGATAAAATTTTAGTTTGGTGAATTATGAACCTTTTCTCTTTTGAATATTGATCTGATATTATTTGTTTAAATGCTTCTCAGAAATGATTTTTAATGACTTTGAGGAAAAATCTTAACTTGCTGAAAATTGAGAAAATCATTTTAGTTCATCACTCACTTGATGTGAGAATTTCTTGCTGAACATCTGTTCACCTGCTGAGAGTCCAATTTGTTTGCCTACAATTAAAAAAAAGTATTAAATGTATGTTACATAGCAGTACAAATGCTGCATTACATGTTACAGTGTATTATACTTTCATGTTAAATACTAAAATCTGATAAGTTTAGATGCATCTAACAATCCTTTTTGTTATACCTTTAAGAATGTGTTCCTATACAAATCTATATGAAAAAAAAGTCCAACATTTCTAATGTTTTGCTGAGCGGGCATAAAACAATTGATGTTAAACCACTGATGAGATGTTGGACCGGTTGATGAGATGTTTGACCGCTTACATGTACATCACACAATTGGTGGAGTTAAACTAATTTGCATTTGTTGATGTTTAGCAGTGACTAACGTGAAGTTCAAGACAGTACAAGATACATGTACATCAAAATAAATATTAAAATGAAAGGTATCACAAAACATTTATTGACTGTGTTCTCGGGCAAATACATTTTGTCGATCCTCAGGCAGACAGTTTGGTTCTTGGGTCTGAGAAAAAAAGCATGTTGCCCTTGAACTCAGTCAATAAAATTTGAAATTGACACCCCTTCTGTCAGTTGACAATGGTTTTCTGAAGTGTCAATTTCTATTGAAGACCTCAAAAACATGCACTATTTATATAATTGTTATATACAGTTGTGTTCATATTTCTTATAATTATGTACCTCAATAGTCCATCTGCAAGCAGATTTTGTTCAATCATCCTGCCTAAGTCTGGCCTTCAGTCTTTTTTCAACTACAGGTAGTGTACTAGCTCCTGGGTAAATTAAATACTGTAATGTTGTTTCCTCCTAAGAATTAAACATGAACAGTTCTATGACAATTGTTTTTTAATTTAACAAAAATTAATTTTATGATTAAACAATCAATCTTACCTGTATTTCATTTATTGATTTATAAAAAAAAAATAATGAATGAAGTTTTTTAATATAAATATTTTATTTTATATACCACATTGTATAACAGTGTATAATGTCTTACATTATAAAATTTGTACATGTACTATAAAAAATAATTTAAACCTAAAAATACAGAAAAAAATACAATAATATAAATAATTTCTGAACCATTGTGTTTCATTTTGCTCCATAAATTAGACAACTGTTTGTTTCAATGTTATTGATATTTCCACATGCAATATCCCTATTTTTTCACTTTGATTTGTACTACAGCGGAACACCTTACTTTTCTAGCAACTTGATGATTGTTGTGTCTTTAACAAATAGGACTAGTTAGTATTATATAACTTGTTATAATCATATACAAAAAATGCTATTTTTGTGAATAAATAGTATTCATAAAACTGACGAACAAACGGAAATGATAAATTTCAATCCTCAAATGTTGAACTGTCGATCGCGGGAATAAGCATACGAAATACATCGATTTATAATATCCTTGCGAATTCCCATTTATCAATAAAAACTGTGTAATTCAATTTCAAAATTATAAATTAAATTGCCAGACATATATAACTTACTTACATGTACAATCTTACTGCACAGTGGCACGACATGGCATCAGGCGATCGAGGCAACGTGGGTCTGCAATCTCGCATGTTTGTGACCTTCAAGTTTCTTTTGGTTGATCGGGTGTCCCGGGCATAAAGAAATGGGTGACTTAAAATTGGTTTAATCATCCCTGGGCTTCTACAATGCTTCAATAATGATCACAGCTTATAGATTTTACAAAACAATCCTGTCGGGGTTTTCTACGGGAAACGACCTGGACATGTTGACATTCGCTACGGAACTGCGCATTTTATGGCAATTGTCGCAAATCAAAGAAAAAATTACGAACAACTTATATTTTTAATAGAAATAGATTCAAAAATACATAAATTGATAAATTAATGAATAATTTTTCATTCAGATTGATTAAATATGTAATTTGCATTTTACGACTTGCAAAATCTACGGAGACCCATTGACGACGTAAAATGCTGACAAGAATCCATCCTTAAGGCATTTTCTAGAAAAATGATGGACAATGAGACCCCCTGAAAATCACTAAATCGCGGAAATCTCAAAACCGGAAGTGACGTCATCAAAACAAAAAAAATACTTTCAGCTTTGTTTGATGTTCTATCAGTCCTGAAAGTTTAATTAAAATCTATCCTACCGTTTTCGAGAAATCGCGTGCACAAAATCGGTAAGAAAAAAAACAATAATAATAATAACTAGATGAGAAACTCGTTGCGAGCAACGAGAGGTCTTCCGTCCGATTCCGGCAAGAAAGCGTAAAATCGACCTGAAAAAGTAAACAAAAATTGCACACAAGAGGGAATGAGTTGCCAGCATGAAAATCCAACGAGCTAAATATTACAGTATTGGAACCTCTGCTCTGAATCTTCTTGAATATATCTCTGTACAACAGTGCTTTTTGTCTTAGATTTATTAAAGGCGAGTCACTATTCATAATTTCGCGCCAAACGCTACGAATTAATCATAGCGCCTTTTCTTTGGAATGTTCTATTAAATAGGTGTGATAGCTTCAATGAAATAAAAAATATGTTCTTATAGCCTAAAATTCGAGGATAAGAAAGTACCCGGTATATTAAACACATTTTACAAATTCCATATCGTTTGTAAGCAAGTGACACTAAAGCGGTGAAACAGCTATGGATTTTTAACTTTTTTAAAATTCCCTGTTTATCCCCAAAGTGAACTCTCCCGATTAGTTAAACTTTCATGAAAAGGTTGAACTGTTTCGCCGAAAAAATGCTCGCCTTACGACGGTCAGGGAATTGGATACCATTTATGCTCAATAACTTGAATCAGCTCTTTGAGACAAGAATGCTGATATAAACTCCATTAAACGATCTGTCAAAAAATGGTACTCTTATTTTTGTTTTTTCTATTAGTTTAATATGACACGAATGTGCATCGGAAAGACAGTGGTTAAGTTTTTTACTTACAATTTCATTGATATTCTTTCTGAGAGAGTATTATTCATAACTATGATTTAAGATCTGTTTTTCGGTCATGCACAAGATATTAAGCATCGAATTTCATTTGCATAATATTATTCAGTCTCTTCTTTTTTTTTACTTTGAGATTCAGCCAAAACCCATTATAGAAGATATGTTAGTTTGAAACAGAATTGCGACGTAACTACGAGGTGTCAATCCAAGAGTTCTTTTATATTTCATTTATCCTTATGATACCTTCGTTCAAGCAAACGCTCGGCTGCATCCGTAAACCCCGATTGCGAAATACCGGAGACAGCCGCCATTTTGGACCCGCTTCAGATTTTTGAATGCTTTTATCTGGAGTTTGGATCAATGAATATTCAAACAAATTACAAAGTAAGCATCATAAGAAGGGTTTCTATTAACATACAAAAAATAAATGAAAAATATTGAAAAACAAAAAAGTTAGAAAATATGATATTTTTTAATTTGCATCTCGTAACGACCGGAAGTATTGACGACGCACGAAAAGGTGATTCTGCAAACCAGAAAGTCATGATCTATCATCTCCAATAAGTCTCCATTTCATATACTTAGCTATTTTCGAGAAAAAGGGGCGACAAAATTGCATTTTAAAATCAGGAAATTGTCCATAACTTGGCACCAGAAGAGAATTTTCCAAATTTCTCTTCGGATCTAACAACTTCATATAATGACACATATTTTGTGAAAGTTTTATGAAAAACCGCTGAATAGTTTTCGAGAAATCGCCTGCACAAAATTTTGTCAAAAAAAAAGAATAATAATAAGAACTAGAAACGATCTCGTTGCGAGCAACGAGAGGTCTTCCGTCCGATTCTGAATTAAAAACACCAAAAATCGAGATGAAAAAGTTATTAAAAAAAAATTCGGATATTCGGGGGAGCGAACCCGGGTCGCCCGCGTGACAATCCAACGCGCTACGTATTCAGCCATTGAAAACACCGCTTCAAATATTTAAATGCAAATATCTCGAGATTGCCCTTTTCAATTCTTAAACAAATTACATATTTCTCATTCGCATAAGAGTCACTTTTAAGATAAATAAAATCGTAGAAAAACATTTGAAAACAAAAAAGATGAAAAAATGCACTTTTTAAATTCGCTTCCGGTAGCGACCGGAAGCACCGACGACGCAGGAAATAGGGCTTACGCACATCTAATAACCATGCCCTATGCTCTTAGATAAGTCTCCAGTGCATATTCTCAGCCATTTTCGATAAAAGTGCGCGACAAAATCGCATTTTAAAATCAGAAAACTGGCCATAACTTGGCACCGAAAGCGAATTATTAAATTTCCTCCCAGATGTATCAAGTTCATATTGATGCACATAATTTCTGAAAATTTCATTGAAATCCATTGATTGGTTGCTGAGAAATCGCGTGCACAAAATTTTGGAAAAAAAATAAGAAAAATAATAATAAGAAACAGTAGAATAACTATAAGGTCTTCCGTGAAGACGGAAGACCTTAACTAGATACGATCTCGTTGCGAGCAACAAGAGGTCTTCCGTCCGATTTTGAAAAAAAAGTAAAATTAAGCTAAAAAGGGGATTAAAAAATTTTTGTGACAATGGGGATTGAACCCAGATCGCAAGAGTGAAAAACCAACTCACTTTTTATTTCTATCTCTAGCGCACACCACTACGCTATTGGGACTACTGCTTTGAATGTTCGTGTATATATACTTCTACAATACTACACCTGTATAAGAATCATGAAAGGCGGGCAATTATTCATAATTTTGCGCCAAACGCCACGAGTAAATCTTCGCACCTTTTCTTTGGAATGTTCTATTAAATGGGTGTGATAGCTTCAGTGAAATTAAAAAGAAGAACGTTCCTAAATCCTAAAATTCGAGGTTTAGAAATTATATTTTGCATTCTACACATTCTATATCGTATATAGGTAAGTTAAACTAAAGCAATGTAATTGCTATAATTTAAAACCCTCTTTTTAATTTCCCGTTTATCCCCAGAGTGAACTATCCCTATTATAGTTACACTTTCGTGAAAAGGTTAAAATGGTTCGCCGAAAACATGCATCTCCCTACGACGGTCAAGAAATCGGATACCATTTATGTTTAATAACTTGAATCGTATCGATCTTTGAGAAAAGAATGTTAATTCAAATCACTAGTACATTAAACGATCTTTTTAAAAATATTTTTCTTATTTTGGTCTTTTCTATTAATTTAATATGACACACGTGTGCATGGGGAAACTATGTTTACGTTTTATACTAACTATATAGATCAGTATTGTTTCTTGTATAACTTTTACTCAAACTAAGATTTAAGATCTGTTTTCCGTGGTTCAAAGATAGCAGATATCTATTTCATTTCTACATTTAGTCTATTCTTTTTCTACTTTGATAACCAGCCAAAACCAATTATAGAAGACGTTTGAGAATACCCTGGAATATATCTTTAGTTTGACACAGAATTGTAACGTAATTACCACGTGACAATCAACGTACTCATTTACATTCCATTCATCCTTATGTAACTTTCATTCAAGCAAACGCTCAGCTGCCTCTTTAACCCCCTACTTACGAAATGGCGGAGTTGACAGAGACAGCCGCCATCTTGGGCCCGCTTCAGATTTTCAAATATTAATATCCAGAGTTAAGACTAACCAATATTCAAATAAACTTATATAGTAAGCATCAATAGAAGGGTCTCTATTAGCGTTCCAAAAAGAAATAAAAAATATTGAAAAACAAAAAAGTTAGAAAATACAATTTTTTTTAATTTGCTTGTCGTAACGACCGGAAGTACTGATGACGAACGAAAGGTCGCGTCCTGGATAGTGAATATCACGATCTATAATCCCTAAAAGTTTCACAACGATATCTTTTACCGTTCTTGAGATTATCCGTAGACAAAATGTCATTTTAAAATCAGGAAATGTCCTATAACTTGGCACCGGAAGCGATTTTCCAAAAAATCTCCCGGATATATAAAATTCATATTACGACACATTTTTTCTGAAAATTTCACGCTATTCCACCCAATAGTCTTCGAGAAATCCCGTGCACAAAATTAGAAAGTCAAATATAATAAAAAGAATAATAAGAAACAGTAGAATCACTATAAGGTCTTACGTGAAGACGGAAGACCTTAATAAGAAACAGTAGAATCACTATAAGGTCTTCCGTAAAGACGGAAGACCTTAATAATAATAAGAAACAGTAGAATCACTATAAGGTCTTCCGTGAAGACGGAAGACCTTAACTAGATGAGATCTCGTTGCGAGCAACGAGTGGGTCTTCCGTCCGATTCTTGATGAGATGAGATAAGATTTTGATTGAGATTTTCATTCAAAATTAATGAGAAAGATTGTTAAGAAACACGATTTTGCCTCCATAATCTGTAAAGAGACATTGAACATTACAGACTTAAAAATTCAACTGTTGGCCCCTCACGGGCCTATATATTAGGGATCAGCCCTTTTATATTCATATCATCTTAAAGCTCTCGGGATTTCGTTCACTTTTTGTTCAACAACTATTCAGAGATTCTTTTTCGTTTTCGAGTTATTTGCAAAAGAAATATTTAGGGGCCAGCCCTTCAACTCCCTAATGGGGACGTTTAGCGAAAAATGAAAGATTGTATATTGTTCGAATTCAGAACATGATGATGAACATCTTTTGTTCAATATTACTTATCAAAATATTTCTCACTTTCGAGATATAAAGCGTCAAAGATTTAACATTCTGGCCCCTTATGGCCCCTAATTTTGAGCCATACGACATAAAAATCATAATATATAGTTGTAAATCATTCAGATAAACATTTTTGCTTCAGTAATGTATTACAAAATATTAACTCATAAAGAATTAAAGATTGAAGACTTT